GTCTATAAGGCGAAATACAATATTTGAACGAAATCGGTCGAATAGTTTTTCAGAAATCGAATTTTAAATCTGCAACTAATTAAAATTCAATTTTTCAGGAACTGTTCAATCAATTTTGCTCAAATTTTGTATTGACATATAAATATATATATTTTTTTAATGATGTTAAAATTAAATCACCTTACAATTCAAAAATTTTCGACTTTTATTAAATAAATATTGAAAATAATAAATTATTATTGAATATTATTTTTTGAAGGAAAATTGTCTTTGGATAAACGAACTTTATAGCTGTGTGCAAAAATGTTTCAACTCATTTAAGATATTCTTGAGTTATGGTAATAAACGCAAAAAGTAAAATTAGCATCAAGGGATCCAAACTTTCAACCACTACCCTGACTTAACTATTGGGATCATATAATCAAGATTACGGCTTTCCCTCATATCTTGAGAGTGAGAAATCCGAATTCATCGAAATAAAAGTATGTTTATTTAAAGAGAGTATGTTTTTGCGTAACTTAAAATATCGTCAGCATTCACTAATTACCATATTTTAGGTCACCACATGAAACCATAAATTTTTAAATTATTTTAAGGAATGTAATTTTATACGATAAAATACAAACTTTTGTCAGATAAAATATATAACTAGCATAATTGAGGTCACTCTTTTGAACAATTAAGATTAAGTCCTAGTACATGAAAATCTGATCACCAGATTAAAAGGTATTCTGGGTGGTTCCTTGTCTTTCTTTTTTTATCACGTGATTGTTGTAAATTTGTAGGGATAGGCTGAATTTCCTGAATTCACAAGCACCACTATGTTTTCCCCAAAAATAAAAACGTTAACAAATTTTCAAAATTTCGAAAGAAATGTTCGAACATGAGATAATATCAAAACATATTTAATTGAGCAATCTCTGTTTTTTTATAATATTGTTTAGTTACCAAAGACCATAGTTAGACCATAGCTTATTTATAGACAATTTTATGACAAGTAAGAATAGATTAAAACATAACAAATTATTACCCTCATTCGATTAAAAATAATGCAAATAAATGACGATCATAAAATTTAATCAAGGGGAATATTTGCACACCATCTATGCTTGCTTTACAGTCTATAAGAAGGCTTCTGTTTTCTCATTGACGTTATCACACAACTTATATAAGGTTTGTGGATTGTTTTGGTTGAGTCCAGAGTCTCCTTTGGCTACAACAATCTCGTTGTCACAACGCTACAATCTCGTTGTCACAAGCCGTGGTGGTTTGGAGAATAGAGCGTTCTCATGAATGAGAGGATGTGATGTTTGCGACGAAGAGATATAGGGAAAGATAAAAGCGGGCTTGCTCTATTTGTATTTCAGCTCTATGGTTCAGGCATTTAAGTAACTCAATGGATATTTGCAGTTGCAGAAGCGTGAACGTAGATCCAGACTACTTCCTACTTATGTCACAAATGAGATGTATTACTTTTATCAAATAAACGATAAAATGTCACAAATAATTACTGAAAGTTGTATGTAAAATAAAATGGAAATAATTTTTTTCTCAAAATGATGGGTTTTTAACTCCCTAAATATAGAGGGGGTACCTTTCTTAGCTGTGACCAATTTCTTAAATTCGCATTTTGAGCTGTGTCCAGTAAAAAAAGCTCATCAACAAAAAATATTTTCCTTACTTTTTGAACCCAATAGTTGATTATAAGAAAATCCTAAAATAAGGTTTTCGCATAGTAGTTTTGCAGGACCTTAGAACTTGGGTTTTATGTTTATTTATTTACTTCCCCCTGAATGAGGTTCTTCGCATATGATTTTTTTTTTTAACTATTTGTTAATATATTTCCTGAAAAGATTGGTATTTACACTACTTTGTTTCCTTGGAAAAAGGTTTTCACTGTGTATTTCCGTTTACCTTATCATGATAACCAACATAAATACGAGAACAAGGTTTACAATTCGCTTAATTTTTTTTAACCTAAATTATAATAGTTAAAGCTTAAAATCATTAAAAAATCATTTTTTGTGCGTTTAGGATCGCAATAGGTTTGAAATTGCAATATTTTTGTTTATTTGAAAAAAGGTTTTTATTAAAAGCATTTTCACTACAATAAAAAGAAAATTAAGACACAAGGTTGCCGTAAGGTTACATGCTTTCTACGAATGAGTCAAACGGGATCAGGGCCGGATTTAAGCTTGGTGGGGCCCTAAGCTACTGAAAATGATGCGGCCCTTATAAGTTAAATTCCATTTCTATACACCTAAAGTAAACTGTCATTATTTTTTATTGTTGCGTATTAACATTATATTATTAAAAAATTTGATAATATTGCTTTACTGTTAAATATATTAATTGTGACGAGACTATTATGTAGAACTTTTCTTTTATTGCACATATTTTTTGAACGAGGGAAAAAAGTTACAAAAGAAACACATTTTAAGCACAGAGTAAAAATTTGGCGTGCTGGGCCACTATATATTTAACAGTCTTATTTTTAGATTCATTTTAATTATATTTTATTTGCAATTTTTAATGATTTTTTCGCGAATTTTTTTCTCAATTGCTTTTTTTTTACGTTACAAAATGTATAAGACTTAGAAACATGAAATTTTGAATCTGCGTAGAAAATATGCAAAGAGTTAGAAAGAAAACAAGAAAATACAATTTGATTATTAGTTTTATTTTTTTTTATAACCGCCGTTGAACAACCGACCCAATTTCGAGTTACGACTTCTAATATTCAACTTCGTGGCCTTGTAATTTTGAAACCAATCCAGATGACAAGGGAACTGCCAGATTAGTACCCAGGGGTATTTCTTTGTTATGAGAACTTGGAGGAATTTGTGACCCCGACAGATTTAACATGCACCAGTCACCATTTTATGCGTGGGTATTCCTCTGCCGGATGGATTCAAACTCCCATTCTCACGAACACGAGTTCAACGCCCTATCAACCAGGCTATCCCGGCCAAATTTATTAGTTTGTTTTATAACAGTCATTGCACAGACGACCCAATTTCGAGTTTACTACTACTAATATTCAACTCCGTTGCCTTGTGATTTTGAACCCAATCCAGAAGACATGGGAACTGCTAGATTAGTACCCAGAGGTATTTATTTGCTATGAGAACTTGGAGGACTTCGTGACCCCGACAGATTTAGCATGCACCAGTTACCATTTTATACATGGGTATTCTTCTGCCGGCTGGATTCAAACCCCCATTCTCACGAACACGAGTCCAACGCCCTATCAGCCAGGCTGTCCCGGTCAAATTTATTAGTTTATTTTATAACCATCGTTGAACAGTCGACCCAATTTCGAGTTTACGATTACTAATATTCAACTCCGTAGCTTTGTCATTTTGAATCCAATCCAGCAGATCCGGGAGGGGAGCAGGTGAGGGCCATTGTATTAATACTGTTTGTAAAAATAAAAAGACCATTTCGTAAGCTGATATTATTTAATTGATGTTTATATTGAAAATTTTTCTTCATTATTTTTGCTTTCTTTTTAATTATTTTAAGTACATTTGTTAAATTTTCATGCAAGGAAAAAAATGTCATTATTTATGTAAATTTTGGGCTTATATTTTGAAGGATTTATTAATGGCTCTATTAAATATCAGAGAGAATAAATGTCATACGAGTTTAAAGTATCAGCTCTGCTCTTGATGGTGTATAGTGGTTAGGATGTCAAGGAGCATCAGTTCCGAGCATCCAGCCAAAACGAGCATTCAACATATCAATGGAACACACTAAAGCTTTATATCAATTAGCAATTAGTTTTAGATAATTACAATTGTAGAATAATTATCTTATTATAGAATGAAATGTTTTAAAGACAAATATCTGTTAATTTTTAACATTTAATTAACGAAAAAACAACCAATATCTAACGAATTTATTATTTTTAATTACTGATAAAGTTTGTGACAGAAAAAAAAATAGAGCCTGATAAATTTCAGAATTTTAGAAACACCTTCTAGTTATACTATTCAATCAAATAGGTTTCGATGTCTTTCATCCCGGTCTCATTCAGCATATTTCGATATCATTTTTGTTTCGTTCTTACTTAATATTAATTTGTTTGCGACAGTTAATTTGTATGCCTCATTTACTACATTTTCGAGGAGTTTAAAAATATAATATTGAGGATTTTAACTTTTTTGTATGCCTCTTTTATTACGTCATCATCTCACCCACACGCAACTGTCTACTCTAAATAATGCTATATAGAATGAGATAGAACAAACGTGTGTAGTTATTTAAATTCTTATTCAAAAGTATTAGTTAATTTTTTTTTGAACTGACAATTTCTGTCCCTTTTTAGATATTTTTAAGTGCTATTTAAAACCGCTGCATATCACATGAAAGCATTAAATATATCATTTGTACAATTTTAAAGTAAAATAAAAGGGAATTCTGATCCTTAGAAACAGATATTAAATAGTCTGATGATCTGATGATGGGACAAAAAAAAACTTTTTTACCTTTTAAACTAAAAAATTATTTATTTATAAATAATTTATTAATACTCAAATTGCTTAAAAGATAATATGTTCCCTACTAATGACACCGAAGTTTTTTGTTTTATTCAGTCATTTATTTATATTTTATATGTCCGACAATGTAAAAAAGAAAAAAAAATGCATTTTGGGCTTCTGAGAGCCCCAGCTCCCAATAAAACTTTAAAAAAAGAGGGGGGAAAGCAGGATCTGGGGGCCCTTGTCATCTCGGGGCCCCAAGCTACAGCTTATTTAGCTTATACGTAAATCCGGCCTTGAACGGGATATTCAACAAATTTGGGTATTTTCCTTGCTTGCCAGTGAAAGATAGAATTGCAAAATAATGTAAACCAGAAATAACAATTAAGCAATAACGATATAAACGATGAAGGTTACAGCCAATCAAATGCATGTTTTTGAATCAAAAGGCAGGCAGTCAAGCAACAGCCTTTATTTACATGAGTGAAATGTTATTCCTACCTTACAATTAACAACTTCTCAACTTCACAAAACAAAGTCGCGATCAGATCGCGAGAAAACGAACCAGTTGTAAATGTTAGTAAGCGTTGAATCGTGACTTTATTATTTTTTTAAATATTGTCCTGATTGCTTGACAAGTTTTCCTATTTCGAAAAATCGTAAGAAATGATATGGTTTTGATCACAAATATTTCTTTAAAATTGTGTTTTTGAAAAAAAAATCAACAAATTAGTGTATTGTATCTTACAGTTTCGTTTCTTAGTAACAAACCTACAAATAGTGACACTTATTGTTTGTTTTTTGTTAGTTTTGCTTAAACAAAATTAGGATCAATGAAAACGACTTACCTTTTATGAATTTGAGTTGTGATGTATTTTGAAGTCATAGGAAAAAAGGTATTTATAGTATTGTTATAGTGTTCCCTCTAGTTAGTAAAATTTTAGTGTTTCTTTAAATTAATTCACACTAACTGTCTAATAGTAAGCATAATTTTTTAAAATATTTCTTTCTTTCTTGTTAAACAAATATAACTAAAGCACAATTGTGTAAAAATGTAGTGTTTGTCTCTACCTGTCACTTTATCCAATGAAAATTATCTATGTTTGACTTTATTAATTGGTTTCTGAAAATTGACTGTGAAAATGTTGATTCTAATATTACCTGATTATCAATATTTTTAATGTATATGTAGATTAGTTACCCAAATTTAGTTTCAACAGAATAACTTACACCCATTTATTGCATAACTCTAAGTTATAACAAGTTACAAAATTTTTTGATCTTAATTTATTATATACTTTGGAAAAATTGCATTAGTACATCATAAAATTTTGGTGACAGGGATATTTCCGTATTGTGATCTATCGTGCCAACTAAAATCGCCAAGGTACCAAATAGATTTTAAACTTCAAATTATTTTAAAAAAACATGTAGATGTTTGCCCAGGGGTTGCTCTGAGTTATACTTTTCAAGTCGGTCTCTTTCTGTAAGATTTTTTAAAAATTTTTTCTTGGGCTGCTGCCCGGAAGTTGCCAAGAATTATTCTGAAACATCACAATATGGAAATCTCCCCACCTGGAAGTTTTATTTTATTTTTTTATAACCATTGATGGACAGCTGACCCAATTTTGGGTTTACACATACTAATGTTCAACTCCGTAGCCTTGTAATTTTGAACCAATCCAGAAGACAAGGAGACTCCTGAATCAGTACCCTCAGAGGTATGATTTGTTATGGGAACATGGAGGACTTAGAGACTCGACAGACTTAATGTGCATCAGTCACCATTTACTACACTGGGAGTCTTCGGTCGGTGGATCCAATTATGCTTTAGAAAACATCACAAACGGTGACATGTCTTGTAGCAGCCCCAGGCATACCTGTCTATATTTTTTAAACTTTTTGTAAGTTTGAATACTCTTTGGTACCTTGATTGTAGTTCATGCGAGCAAGCAATAAAACAAAAATATCTCCAACCTGTGTCTCAGAGATTCTGTTACCGTTGGTTATTTGAGTCTTTTGGTGCTTGAAGAATAATGTGAAGTATATAAAAGCTGAATAATTTTAGATGACATTTCTATATTCAATTGTGATTGAAAAATTATCTATATATATATTTTTTTAATTTGAAAGTATTTTTAGAATAAATTTCATTGAATTTGATAAAGTCCTAATTAGTGAAATGAGAACAAATTGGGCAATTCCATGGTGTCGGACGTAAAAAATGAACACAAAAAATTCTTAGAAAAGCGCTCTTTAAAATACAGTACAGAACCCGTTATCCGGAAATCAGAAATCCGGATAACCAAAAAACCGGAACGAAATTCAATAAATTTTCCCGCCATTTTTTAAAAAAAATATTTTTTCCTCATAAGATTTTAGGATTTTTCTTTCTTTTTTGAAAGGTGTTTACCTTACCATCATTTTAGAAATAATCATTACTGTATTACTTCATCGTTTTTTCTTCTCTTTAATATTATTTCCTAATATTTTTTTAAAATTTTTTTTTAGTTGGGTTTAACAATAAAAAAAATGGCTTTTTGTAGCGATTCAGAAAACCGGAAAAATCAGTTATCCGGAATAGCGATGGTCCCGATCGTTCCGGATAATCGGTTCCATACTGTATAAGTTAAATTTAAAATTATCTAATTTTTATATCAAATATTTAGTATCATAACCTAACAAAAAATAATTTGTTTTATATAAACTGATAATAATAAGTTCAAATTAAATGAACTAAACTGTTGGTGTCGGACGTGAATCACAAGAAAGCGAAAAATGAATATGCATTTACAGATTGTCAAAACTCTGTCAATTTGTAATTTAAATGTAAACTTCACTGAATTTTGAAGCTGGCATTTGAATAAAGAATTCTAAATAGTTCTTAACCTGTAAAATATATATATTGTTAGTTTGAAATTTTTCCTGACATACTCCTCGCTTTTTGCTGCATTCAAAAAACTGATTTTCTCCGTATTACTCAAAAGAAAAAAAAATGACCTAGCAGAGATATATCACTATAATTTTGCTTTTAGGAGGGATTCTCTCTGGTAAGATTGAAGTCCCTCTTTTTGGTTTAAGTTGTGCTAATCTAGAAAAATATGAACTAGATATTTTATCACTTTGCAAGCATTTTGTTACATCTGCTCATAAAAATGTTATATAATAAAATGCTCATAAAAATGTTAAATAATGTATTGATAAGGAAAATGTTATTATCAAATCCACTGGCAATATCAAACCAAAAATTTTAGCCAAAATATTTATGTAACATTTAAATTTCAATACCAAAAAAATTAGTAAATATTGTATTTTATCAAAATTAAATTTGCACAACATTTAATTGCATGCAAGAATGAGATGAAAAAACATAACATCTTTTTTTACTTTAAGTTGTTTTTAATGATCCAAATTTGACTACCATCAGTTACTTTTTTGTGAACTCTGCTATCACAACATTTTTGTTCAAAACTTGTATTTGCTTGTATTTTGCTGATAAGAGATTATGCATGGTAAAAACAAACGTAACGTTCTATGTAAATGTCTTAAACAGGACTTTTTTTAATAAGAAATATGCAATTAAGTTTCTGGTATTAATAAATCAGTCATAGGAAAAGCTATGTTAAGCAATTGCGCAACATGTTTTCACAAAGAATATACAGGACCTTTCAGATGAAAGTTAAAGCAAGGTTTTTTTCTATATTGGCAGTTTTGCTTATGAAGGAACTCCTTAACAATTTAAGAAGAAATTCCATTTGAGACTTGTACTATTGGGATATAGTTAAGACATGTGTAATATTGGGATATTCACAGAATACCATAGTTATAGAGTTAAGATCAGAAGGTCATAAAAACTATAAATGTAAGAATTGATGAAACTAAAAGGGTTTGTAATGGTTTATTGAACAATCATAATAACAAAAATCACTCAGTAAAATTTAATCTTACTGAATCACAAACTTAACTTGATTTTGATGATATTTCTGACCCCTCTCCACTGAATTAATACAGTGTACTGAAATTCCTTGGATATGGAAAGTAGTTCGAAAGGACGGTAATAGAAATGATATTTATTACTATATACATGTTAAAAATTTAAGATTTAGATCTTTTAGAGGGGTGTGCAACCTATGGGCTAAGGGCCACATGCGTCCCGCAGACTGTTGGTGTGCGCCCCTCGGGAACTTCAGAACACAATAAAAAATTTCTTTTAATTTGGTTTTTATTTAAACATTATAAATTTTATTTTATTAAATATTTAATTCAAATTTATATTACTCTATAAAATGCGTACTTTTTTACACTTTCATTCCATAAGCTTCTTTTTGCTTAGAATTTATATCCCCTCCCCCAAAATATTTATGTTANTAAACAAAAATTAGACAAAAATAGTGCGATTTATATATATATATATATATATATAAATAAATATTTGATAAATTAATTATTGTGAAAAATTGAATAAGTTTTTTAAAAAATGTATCAGTTTTTTTAGTTTTAATTGAATTCTAATAATTAAAAGTATTTAGTTTTCTGCAAATATGTTAAGTTTACTGATAAAAATATTTGGTGCTTAGAACACCAATGTTTAGATAAAAACTGTCATGTTTGCCGCTAACATGACTAAATATGAGTGTGGCCCTTCGTTAATCTACGTGCAGTGTAAGTGGCCCTTCACTCAAAAAAGTTGCGCACCCCTATTTTAGAGACATTGAAAAATATTTTGTTAGTTGTAATATTGTTGATGATAAATCTAAGTTTAATTTTAATAGGTTCTCCTTAAACTTGGTTTTATAAAATTTCAGTGGTGTAATTGTGCTTATATGTTTAAACCTAGTGTGTTATTGCTTTCATGACATTGCCTAAAATTTTCACATTTTTCCAAAAATTACAAAGTTTAAAAGTTCTTAGGTATTGAATTTTTTGAAAATGAAAATGGTTGTTTTATATATCAAAAGTTATAAATTGATCAGAGTTTAACTTTCATTCATCACTACCTATTGCTAAAGGTGTAGTTCTAACTAAATTAGATTGTCCAAACTATAGTGGAGATAAAAACAAGTTGTTAAAATTTGTTTATAGAAATATACTAGGATGTTTGACATTCATTGCAAATCAAACTAGAACAGATTTGAGTTATGCAGTTAATATGTTATCGCAATTTCAGGATTTAAGCATTGGACCAGTTTACTTAAATTGTTAGGCTATTTGAATGATGCCAGAAATAATGTTTTAAATTTAAATAAATTTAGTTCTTTAGATTTAAATTGTTACTCAAATGTTGAGTTTGCTACAAATAGAGATGACTGAGTTTCAATGAGTGGTAAGATAATTTTTATTGATCAGGTGCCAATTTCTTGTAGATCAACAAAGCATCAATGCATGAGCTTATCCACTTTGGAGACTGAATACATAGCAATGACAAAAGCTGCAAAAGAACTAATTTGGATTAAGAATATATGTATTAGATGAAGGCAAAACTTTAAGTTTATTGTCACCTAACATTAAATTATTTTGTGATAACCAAGCAGTTATAAATTTTTCAAGTTCTTCTGTAGAGAACCATAGTACAAAGCATCTTCAATTTCATTTTTTGAGAAATTTAATTTTGGATGTTATAATAGATATTAAATGCATAAACACTAAATTAAATAAATCAGATGTTTTTACTAAACCATTAATTAAAGAATCACTTCATAAATTTTGTGATTAAATTTATGCAAAGTAATTAAATTTTTCTTAAAGATTTTAAGTGGATCTTCCTCTTGGGGCCGATTATTGGGAATAGTTTGAACAATTAGTCGGATCTTCCCTTGTTTTACGCTTTTTTCTAACTCATCATAATGTAAGTTCAAGGCTGTTACCTTTCTAGAGGAGTAACATACTTTTTTCTATAACTCTAAATATTTATTTAAAGGAGTAGGATATATAAAACTAAACTTGTTACTGTATCTTTATTTTAATAATATGCACAATGCCACACACTGCTTTATATTATGTGGAAATTTAAGTGCAAACAGGCGCCCATAGTTTTTCAAGTTCAACTAAAATCCAATAATTTATATTACTTGAAAGTGAGGTTTTAATTTCCATAGAGAAATGTGGTCTTAAAAATTTCTGTTTTCGTGCAGAGTCTAAGCTGCAAAACAAGGGTGAAACTTTCTAAAAAAAAATTAGATTTCCGCATAAATTCATAGATGTCATAATCTTAAGCTTCTTTTCAAAATCAGGTGTACTCATGTATGCTTCAAAGAGTTACAACTAAATTATTTAATATGAGCTGAAGTTAATTTATGATATTTCTTTGTTTGAAATTTGATACCTTTATATGTGTCACAATCTGATTTAATATCTTTTTCTTTTCTTTCCAGAAATTAAAAATGGCTTCCCCAGGTCCTTCTGGAGTAACACCCAAATCGCAAAGTACCCATGGGTTAAAACAGATCGATTTAGATCAGATTTGGGGTGATCTGAAGGATGGGATGGAACAAGTATATTTGAATAAAAATACAGACATGTCAAAATCCCGCTATATGGAATTATATACGTATCCTTTGAAAACTTAAATTCTTATTTTGTTGTTCATGCTTATCTGCTTCCTAATATTTTTTTAAATATGAATAAATAATAAATGTAATATAAATAAATAATATTATTTTCAGTGGGCAGAAAATGGCATCATAAAAGTAAATACTAACACATCAAAGCATCGTCAAATAACGTATTTGAACTGTCATTTTTTGGGGTCATATTTAAGGAAGTGTTTCAAAGCTATCTTGGCTACTGGCTGCTCCTTCATCTTTATGTTAGTTACATTCTTCAATGGTGTCTCTGGTGTCTCCGAGTGGTAGTTTATCGAGATCCGTGAGTTAGAAAGATGCCGAAGGGCAATTACGATTTGTGTGAATATACCATTTTTGTAAAATTACTGATAAATGATAGTAAAATTCACCTGTATTAAGCCCTGTGCTGATATTTTGTTGAAAAATTTGGCAACATACTACTAAAATTTTGAATTCTCTAAACATGTGTAGAAGTGATGTTAGCTTGTGCAGAATTATTTTTGATAACTGACAACAAATTTAGTGGTAGCTTTTATTGAAGTTATTTATCATTTCAATATTTTCAAGTATTGATTTAATCTAAAACATTTGAATTTAATCAACAGTTTAAAAATTGAAAGATGTTCTCAAATTTACGAAGGGGTCATCCATTAATCAATTTCTAAATATTCATTTAGTAATTGTATTTCTATGTCTTAACTAATTCTTTGAAATTTTTATTTAATTAATAATCTAGTTAATCCCTAGTAATAGTCCTATGCATACAAAGTCTTAAATTTTTGAATAATCAGGGGTCTGTTCTGGCCGAATTTACTACCGTTTAATGGTACCTTCACAAATTCAATTATAGGTAAAACGGTAGTTTCACAAATTCAACTATAGGAAAAACGGTAGTTTCTCAAAATACTTTTTCTTAAAATTTTATTTTTGTCTCCCTTAAGAAACGATAAATCTATATTTTTACCATGTTTTTGTGTTGACTTTTTAATATAATTTTCAATTTTTCACAAATTATGTCAAAATTTTCACAAAATAGGTACCTTTCAGAAAAAACTAGACAGACCCTTGATAATGAGATTACTCATTTTTTCGATAGACACATCTGTAAGTTGACTGTCAATATTTTATTTTTATAAAATATCAGTATCAGTTGTATGACTAAATCTAATCTCACAAATAGTTTCCCAGGGAAGACACTAGGCTTTCAAAATCCCGGGTCCCTGGGACCCATGACTTTTAAAAAACTGGGTCCTTTTGAAAAAAAATGGGTCCTTTACATAAATTTTTAAACAAATACAGTAGAGAACCATTTATCCGGTATCCAGAAAACCGGGAAAAACTTTGCTCGATTTTCCCACCATTTTAAACTAGAACGAAAAAAGCGGAATTTGGACTCATCCTTGAAGTTGAGTAGAGGAAAATGTAAGGAAGGGGAAAATTTTTCCCCCCGTTTACCCAGAGAAACGTCATTTCCTCTGTGACCTTGAAAGCAGGGAAGGGAGGAATGTTTTATTTTTTCCTTTAGGCCGTCAATCAAACTCAAGGGTGTGGCATGCTGATTTCGTTTTCTGCTTGATTTACGAGGGGGGTGGGGAAAATGCATTGCATGCATATCAGTGAACAGAAAAAGAAAAGAGAAAAATATATTTATTTGACATCGACTAATAAAAATAAAATCTTTTTCTTTTGAATAAATTCTCATTCTTTGGAAGTGCGGTATCAATTGCAAGTTTTTCTTGGTGTGGAATCACATCTGCTGTAATTAAAAATCTTGTTTTTATCAACAAAAAAAAAAAAAAAAAGGAGAATTGTTTATTATTTTAAACATAGGATTATTTTATGAAGCAGATTGCAGTTTTGTTTTTCTGATTCCACTACGTTTGATTTTTTTTCTTTTCGCGATAAATTTCGCACTCAATAAATTAATTCTTTTTATTCATAAATTTTATCATTAGGTTTTTTTTTTTTTTTTTTGAATTCCGTTTATTTTGCCTTGTTCCGGGTTTTAATATTTATGCTAGTGCCTTTTTTAACTATCGTTTAAATCATTATTTTTATTTCATTGTCTGGCAAAGTCATACTTAAATAATATGTTATTAGCTTTTTAAGATTAAGAAATTAAAAGTAAATAACTAAATGTAGCACACATACTATAATGTATTTTTATTTGAAAGCTTATCTTTTACAATCACGAATAAAATTGGGAAAGCATTCAAAATAAAATAAAAGAGAGAAAAAATCTTTAGTACTCTTGAAAATATTCCTGTACGATGCGACCGCCAGCTATGAATTTTTCGCCAAAATGGAAACCCCCATCTTGGAACAAGTTTTCAGAGCCCAAACAATAGACTAGCTCTCTCTACCCTAATATCTCCTCTAAGTGCTATAATGGTCAACATTTTGAGTCATAGAACTGGTTTCCCACCTGTGTGTCTAACATGTGTTGGTCTAACTCTGGAGACAGGGTTTTTTTTTTTTTTTTTATACCGAGGATGCATACCGATTTATTTTTTGCGTCCCAATTTTTCGATTTTATTAAAATGTTTCGATATCAAAGATTAAAAAGTCGGGAAATTTATAAACTTTCTTCAAAAATTTACGCGTCCCGCGGGACGCGTAGCGATCATTTTTTTGCGTCCGATTTCAATTTTTTGCGTATTTTACGCGCTATAGCGCGTAAATGTCTTCCCTGGTTTCCCTTTTACCCTCAAAATCTAAGTTTCTCTATGGTTACTCTTTTAATCCTATTTTTAATTTTATAATCCTTCAAGCTCCCTCTTTTTTTAAAGCATTTTTAGCTTCAATTTTTTATGAAGTAATATTGAAGTACATTTTTTTCACTTAAAGTAAACAAACTGCATGATTCCCTCCTTATTTTTAATTTTTTTTTAGAAATCTAAAATGAAAAATTTCTTACTTATATATTCACTTTTTTATTTTAAAATACTCGCTCTTTTAAATTCACTGCAAAAATATGGAAAAGAATCTTTTTGTCCTACTGCAGGGTGCCATTTTCTCATTTTTTCAATGTTTTTAATATTGCATTATTATAGTTTATTTAAAATAAATATCCAAGTTGTGGGTGCAGTATAGCCATAAATGGCTCTTGCTCAAAAAATTCCTAACAAACTAACAAAATTGAAATAAAATGTCCTATAAGCAATCAGTTAGCAATTTTCTATAATATTGAACAATAAACAGCATTTCATGCTTTATTTTCAGATTGTAGTAGGACATTTTGATGATTTGACTTTTTGGAAAAAAATAATATTTAGTAATAAAATTAATCGTTGAATTTTCTGAATATAATTCAACGATTTAGTTTTTCAATCAACACTTGTTACCAATTTACATAATTTGAATTTAAGTCTTTTTTTGCTACTTTCTTAGTTTTAAAAAAAATTTCAAAAATTAGTTATTATGAATAGTAATTTTTTAAATCACTTTAATAACATTTGAACTTACTATAAAGTTTTTTTTTCTTCTTTTTTTTCTCATTTATGTCTGCAATTTTTTTTTTGGTAATGTTCTTCCAAAATAAATCATACTAATGTATTTTTTATCCTTTTTCAATTTTTTGTCCTCAAAAGTTGCATTTCTTTTGCTTTGTGTCTCTTAAATATTTTATCTAAACTATTTACATCCCAAAAGTGATTTTTAGGAATATATTGGAAAAATCAGAGAAATATCTTTTGGATTTTTGCCTTAACTTTTTTTAGACATGTTTATAATTATTGCACAAGTGTACATCATTATGGTTCAAGATCTTCATCTAAAAGTAAAAAAGGACCTCCTCTTGGCGGAGCTCAATTTGTAGGACATGAGTTATATAAAAGATTGAAGGAGTTTTTGAAGTGCTACCTCATAATTCTACTCAAAGTAAGTTATTTATTTATCAGTATTTATCTTTGTAATTTCTCATTGTTATTGAATTTCACTTTCTTGTTGATTATTTTTAGAAGCCTAAATGTTATCCTTTATCCAACGTTTGCTAGAGAGACAGGATGTCATGTTCAAAAATTTTGCCCTCTTTTTTTTTTTCCTTATTTTTTTCTTACCATACATTGAGTTGTTAGTAATGAATAAATTAACTTAAATTACAGTCAACCCATATATATATACACACACAGTGTAACGTCCCATATCCGGACGTCCCTTTTTCAGAAGGGTCAATTACCCGGACACTTTTTAACAATCAAAATAAACAAACATATCTTCATCTTCCCCTCTCTTAAAAAAAAAAAGAGTTCTTTTGACATGTTCTCTCTTTTTCTAGCTTCGAGTGATTTATGCATTGAACCCATAAATCATCAGAAAGGGGAAGAGAAGATCTACCAAGACCATTGAGTGACCGTTTGGGACGCTCCCCCTCTGGAATGCAGAGGAAGAGGGAGATTTGTTTTCAAAAGAGCGCAACTGAGTCCCCTCCCCCCTTCTTTCCTATGCAGCTGGCTAGTAAAAGCATTTCCTGGAAGCGTATAAGCAAACCGTACCACGGATTGGAAACTTGGTGATTGCTGTTGGAATTGGCGATGATAACGTGTAAATGTGGTAGAACGAAATTACATTAACCTAAACCGCAATTTGATATTCTATTTCTCCTTCTCGACTAGCCATGATGAATAAAATATATAAATAAATTAATCAACGTTTCTGCAGGTCCTTTTAGTTGAAATTTCATTTTTTCAAAATATGTTATTCGTCCTATCTCTTTTAGAAATTAATTGGAATTATAGTTTTTTGAACAATATATATATTATTTATACCTGAATGAAAGAAAACTTTTTTCTTGCAACTTGCGTTATTCTCTAAGCTTGTGTTGTTCATCTGGAAATTAATTTGTAAGTGTGTGATGAATGAACTGTTGTAAAAATAACTCATTAATTCCTTTTCGTAGAGAATTAAGAAAGAAAAAAAAACTTTATTGTTAGGATCACTTTACAAATACACTATATTCAGATTTTATAAAATGCAATAATTTATATTTTATAAAACGATCTTGTTTTTTGATATAACGGATTTAATTTTTTAATTTTTTTTTATTACAGGAATTGTGTTTGCGAAGAAATAAAAATATTTTATTCATGAACCAATCACAATAAATAACGTAAAATTTTAATACCATGTTTTATTGGAACGCTATTTTGAAGAATTAATTCTATTTAATTTTTATTGTAAGAAAACATAACCTGTTTTGTTTTAGTGATATTCTATATTAAATCAATCTTGATAAAAGAATAATGTAAAAATTTTATGAAGAATTTTTTTTTAGAAATTAACAAAGACATTATTTACTAGAAAAAAAAAATCAGAGTATTCAAAAATGTTATCACGCTTTAAAGTAATAATTTCTTGCAAATGAAGTTATTGATATTTTTAAAATTTTAAAGTAATCGGAAATGTGGAGCTAGTGAAAAAAGAAATGTGCAATAATTTCAAGAGGGAAAAAATGTAGAAATGAAGGGATTTTTCTTTAATGACCTATGCCACTAGTTTTAAGCTCTAAATGATATTTATTCATTTTAAACTTAATCTGAATCTATCAAAATATCTGATTTCATATAAATGATATCCAATTGTATCTGATTTAATGATAATTGATTAAAAGTAATTTAAGAAAACAATTGTAAGTTATTATGTGAGCTTTGACTGTGTTTTTTATTTTATCAGTTCAGACTGAAAACCTGGAGTTTACCTGAGTCTTAAAACAAGTTTGAGTGAAACTATATAAAAAATTAAAGTTTGAAAGCATTTGTTTCATTACTAGAAGTATTTATTGTAAAAAAATATTTATTAAATTTCTTTTTTTGCAATGAGATCAGATCTTAAACTTCGTGAAAAATTGATTCAATTCCTTAATATATATAAAAGTGATTAAATACTTCATTTATTATGGAGGTCATAGATACCTTGATACTCCTTCAACATTAGAATAATAAATGCAATTAATAGCTAATGCACAATTTTAAAAATATATTTTATTTACATATATTGCATACAGGTTATTCTGCAACGATCATACGTATTATATGTTTATAGATTCCTAAATACTGTTAAATGAATTAAGTAATTAAAAACATAATTAAAAGAATAACACAATTAAAAAAATTGTCAATCTTCAATTAAAACCTTCCTGTTGTCAAATATTAATAATAATTCTAAATTGTAACAACTTTTTTAAACACAAATTTTTAATTCTCAAACTTAATACTATCCTTCATATGAAATATCAGAAAATTTATAAAAAACAACAACTTTTTTTTAAAATTGAGCCATTGGCGACAACAGAGGCTAGATGTATGCACTGAGTTAATAAATTATATGTTATAGAACTCACATTTAAGACTTAGATCAATTTATTATTAGTTCATAAGAGTTTTTTTTAATAAATAAATATAGTGATCGTTTGATTTATAATTGTAACTCATGAGTGTTTAATGTTAAGTTATAATAACTTTTGAAATAATTTTTGAAATATGCAAAGCAATTCGACATTCATTTTTATTTGTATGTGAATCAAAATATATTAACTTAACTTTCAATAACTATAGATAAATAAAAAGCAGAAGTTAGATAAAAACTTTAAATGTAAAAAACTTTCTAAATAAGATTTAAATGAAACACAATCACTACGCCTGAGTGATTTTGTAAAGAGTTTTAAACTTTTAAATTTTACAAGTTAGGTGAAAAGTAAATATCTTACAATAGTTGTAGGGAATTAAAGAAATTCTAAATTATATCAACATTAAAACATTGAGTGCAAAAAGTTTTCAATTCACTTAAAAGTTCACTGGAAAGTTCCCAAAATATGGTGAAATGCGCAAAAAGTAAAGTTAACACTAAGAGGTCCTAACATTGCATCGCTTTCCTGACCAAACTATTGGGACAGTATTGCCAGATTGCAACTACCCCCTATTTACTGGGGATCAAAAATCCAAATCTGCCGAAAAAAAGTTTCTCAAATTAAGTGCGTTTTAGTGTCTGATTTCCCAACTTAAAATATATTGTCTGCTATAATTAATTGGCATATTTGAAGTCCCCCTCTCGATCCATTAAGATTGAGTCCTAGAACGTAAACATTTGATCATTAGATCAAAAGTTAGTTTTAAATTTTTTGTTTACTGCTCACTGTACACTAAAATGTGAATTTTTTTTTTTTGAAATTTCGACTTTAATGCCATTACTTCAACCTCCTTCGGGCTGTGCTTATTTTAGGAAATTTAATCTCAAATTTTTTTTTTTCTCTTTACTTTTAAACTGTAAAAAACTTCTTCTCCATTTGTAAATTATGAAAAATTTTTTTAATCTGATTGTGTAAACAGTTGATTCACTAAAATTGGACATTCTGAATTAATTCCTTTAAATAGTCATTTATATTATTATTAATAATTATTTACTCAAAATTATAATAAAGGAAAGTTTGATTAGAAATGTAGAAGTTTTTGCTGCAATAATTAGGGAATTTCTATTGACAAAATTCGAAAACATAAAAAAATTAAAGTAATTTTTTTTGGAGCAAAATGCATTTTTATTTAAAAGGAAACAATATTGACTTAATATTTATAAGATAAAAGGCTCTCTAATCACTAACACTGATGACAGGAAAAAAGTTCATTTTTTTTCTTCTTTTCCACAAAAAGTTTAAAACTTGTTGTTCTTTCATTATAAAGCAATCATATAATATTCTTGTATCATGTAAAACTTTATGACAAAGTTACTTATCTACCGTTTTACAATTATAAAATGAAGTAATTATTAAATTCTACTTGCATTTTAAAATGTAATGCTCAATTGTTCAATGAATTTGACCATTATTATTATAAAACTGTGTATAATGAACATTTCAACTTAAATAATTAGTACGAAATAACTGCTAAAAATTCTCTTAAACATTTATAAATATTATACATTTATAAATTTCAGCTTTTCGCATTATTGCTAAATAATCTCTACGTCGAAAAATATTTAAAGAATTTCATAATAACTGAAAATGAAATAAAATTTTAAAAAAATTGTAAATGGTTATCGAGCAGGAAATGCAATCTTTTAAGTAAACAAACTTTATTGTAATAATCATGTCATTATTAAGGGTTAAAAGTTATTGTGAAATTATTAATTTTAATTAGTGGATGAGTAGGAAAATAAGTTCACTACTCGAAATACGTTTAGTGAAAGTTATGAAAATATAGAAGTGGTTATGGAAGTAATAATACATGATATTTTTATCTTAGTTTTATTACGACCTTTAAAAAAACGCTTATAAACACAATTTAGTTAACAGATACAAACAATTATTTCGGCGCTATAACAAAAAATATGCTTTATATTTCATTTAATGCAGAAGAATTTAATTAAGACCCGCTTAATTGAAACTATGAAATGTTGCACCATATCTAACTTGGTGAATGATAGATACGTGATACCGAAAGCAAAACAAAAACATAAGCGCACAGCTCTTCGGTGATTGTTGAGAACGCTCCTTTAACGCCATTAGAAATTTTCGTCAACTGTTTCCAATCCGCGGTATGGTCTGCTTATACGCTTCCTGGAACCTTTTCATTAGAGTATTAGGGAAAGAAGAAGTACTATGGAGAAAAGGTTAAACACGGCAAACGTTAACTTGGAGGGGGAGTCAAAATGGAAAATTTGAAAAGGTCTAAAAGGATACACGTCCTTGAGAAACATTCGCTCTACCCCATACCATGTAATATTTAGGAGGCGGGGGGAAGAAAGGGGTAACATTCTTGCTTTAGCAGACTCTTTCAGTCACACACAAGAAAAAATAAATAGAACCTGATCAGCATTCCGCACCTTTACGCTTGATTGATAGCCAATGATCAGAGAGAAAATAAGAATATGTCACTTCCCCGCCCTCAAATTGAACAATCTCCTCTTTACGCATATTTTCTCTCACAAATAAGGAGGAAATGAATTTTTTCCCTCCACCTACCAACCTTAATGAATGACGGGAATTTCCCCTTCTTGCTTGAATTGTTCTTGTTCAAAATGGTGGAGAGAATAATTAATATTTTCATAACTGTCAAATTTTTTTCGTTTTCTATATTTTAAACAATAATTATTTTTTTTCCTAATATTTTATTGATTGATTAGATATCATTCTAATACTAAAACATTATTGCCCTGAAAAATAATGTTTATTTATTTTTTGCTTCTTAGATTCAGATCGTTTATTAGATCATTTTAAGCTTTGTTTACCTTGGGGGTCTATTATACAGAAAATTCTATTATCCGAACTTCTGGAAGTTCCACTGATTCTGGATACGCGACTTTTCATTGTATATATATATATGAAAATTGTTATTTTATGACAAATAATCCAGATGAAGTTTTATTTCACTTGACAAAATGACAAAAGATGCCCTTTTACTCCTCAAAAAGTGTGCTTTTACTATTCAAGTATACGAATTGCGGCTGTAATTTTTAAATCCCGTGAATCCGAATAAGATTAGGTTGGAGTATATTCTACATGATTTTATATGAAATATGAACATACATTGTACGTTTATATTTTCCTGCTAAGGGCCAAACCTTGAACAAAAATTTGCAGATCCCGTTTTTTTCTTCTTTTTGGGAAGGTGTCTATTTTGTAAGCATAATTGCAATTTTTGTGACGGTACCGATTTTACTGAGATATATGTGAAAGTACCGATTTTACTGTAATGATTTGTGTGAAGATACCATTTTAGCCTGGTACATTTTTGTGAAAGTATATAAATATATATATACATACAGTGTTCCCATTGGTCTCGGAATTGTGCATGTCTCAAAGTGATAACTGAAATTCAAAATTCACATTCGGCTCTTCAACGATTGTTATAAAAAAAAGTAGTTTAAGTAACTATAAATAATGGTTTAAAAAAATCTTCTTCAGATTAGGATTTATATACATATTTTTTACATCTCTAAATGTAGGTGCTTATATTATTTCTAATTTTGAATTTCGCTTTTTGACTTACATGATTATGCATGACGTATCAAAACTTGACTTGTAGCCTAAAAATTTTCGCTAGTAAAATCTCCGTTATTTTATTTCTCCATTCTTGTCAGGTATGATAATTAAATTAATTTAAAATAATTAATTAAAGTTCTAATCTTACTTTGATTAAAGTTTAGGTTTAAACAAGAAAAAATAGCAATTATACTAAAAATTCTTAAGATTTCAGCCTCTCTTTATATGAATAAAACTTTGTTTACTGTTTAAATTTGTTTGTTTATTGTAATGCATGTATAACAATGCAACTGCATTTTTAAAATTTCTGACTACATATTAAATTATTTAAAATGTGTTAATATTTTTTTATTAAAAATATTTCCTTGAAAAAACCTGTTTAGTTCATATCGGGTGAAAAATGATATCTTCAACTTCCTTTATTATTTATTTAAAACCTGTTTATTGGTCATATAAAGCATGCAACTACATTTGAAAAATTTATTTCACAGACTATATTATTTAAATTTCTGCCTGATTTAATTTCATTCAAATATTTCTTTTTGAGAAAACCCACTTGAAGTTTTCAATAGTAATATAAAATTATAGATTTGAGTTTCTTTTACTTTACAAATATTAAAAACTTAATCATATAAAGCATGCAATTCTATCTGACAAATTATACTGCACAATAAATTATATAAAATTAACTGTGCATCTATAAGTTTTAATAAAAACATTTGTTTTTAAAAAGTCCACTTGGTGTTCCAAGTGGGTTTTTTCAAGATGGGCCTACCCACTAAAACCCGGTTTTTTTTAAAGTTGGCACACTTAGTGAACCCTGCAGATTTCTGAAGTAGTGAAATTCCTTGCCATGCTGACGGGAAATTTTGTTCTCTGTGTCAATGACTCTCTCTGCAGCTTAGATCCCCCTTAGTTGGGAAGTTTTGGACCACCCCTTCCTACAGCCCAGACATTGCACTGAGTGATTAAAATTTTTCCCGATATTTCAAACATAATTTTGTCGCAATCACTTCAATGATGACGAATATGTCAAAACGGCCGTGACCTCTTGGTAAACAGAGCAGACGGCAAGTTTCTATGTGGAGGGTATTTTAAATCTAATTGTAAGGTATGATAAGTGTTTAAACAAACTTGCAACTGCTGAAAAAAAGAGAAACATATGTAGAATCTGAAAATAAATTTGCTTATTGAAAATTTTCTTTCATTTGTTTTTATTTTCAAACGACCTTTACTTTAAAGACAACCCTCATATATATATACTGCACTGTCCTTCAGGGCTAAATGCATTTCTAAAGCTGGCCACAATGTCTATTAAATTGGACAGGCCTTATTCATTGCAATATTTTTTAATATGTCTGTATTTAATGTGGCATGTTGTATATAACTGTAATGAAATTTATTACCACTAAATCTCACTACTATCTCTTACACCTTTATTGAAAGGATGGAATTGATTTGATGGATGAGGATGTGCTTAGGTTTTATACAAAACAGTGGGAAGAATATCAATTTTCTAGTAAAGTTCTGAATGGGATATGTTCCTATCTAAATCGCCATTGGGTAAAGCGAGAGTGTGATGAAGGTCGAAAAGGAATTTATGAAATTTATCAAGTATGAATATTTTAATTTACTATTATTTGTTGCATTTTTAAGATATGGCATATGATATATTTGTTTCAGGCTTTAGTTGACATCAATATTTTTATATTTTTTATGCATACTTAGAATGAAAGACAGGTTTGAGAATGTCCTGTTTTATTTTAAAATACTTAATTCATAAAGATTTGTTACCCTCGAAATTGTTTATTGTTATGTCCTAAATAGGGAACAAATATTAAAGCAATTTGTTTCAATAGTTTGACTAAGTTTAATTTTCTCAATTACATATCGGAAAGTTTTTTTTTTAGATGTGATAATTTTTATATTTATATTAATATCAGTATTTTGATATTCTGTTAAGTTTTTTCACTTTCAATTATTTGCCTTATCAGCTGCATTGTGTTGAATTATTTTTTTAATTTAAAATATAGCTACATATTGATTTTGCAGTTTTGAGTAATTTTTTTGGTTATCTAAGGATTGTATTTCTTTTGAATTAAAAAAAAATATTTTCAAGCAGTTATCAAGTCAAAAATTAATTTTCAAATTTCTTTTAGAATAGCTACAACTTATATTGTCAAAGAAACTAGTGTTTATTAATAATTAAAGGAAAAATACAACATTTGGTGTTATTGTGAATCAATCTGGATGACAGAAATTTCTCATAAGCCATTTTTTTTCCTGCCATGATGCATAAGTTTCAAACAGCTTTCAGTATTGAGTTTGTAATACTTATAAAAAAGTTTAAAAAAAGTTTTTCAGAAAATTCATTTAAAAGTGTAATAGATTCTTTTTTAGTAAATGATACAAACTGAAAGAATCTATCATTGTGCATACCTGCCAACTCTTCTGATTTTGACAGAAAATGTCCGAATTTCGGACCTGTTTTATCTTCCGATTGTTAACAAAAATTTTCTGCTTTTTTAAAAGTTGTTAAATTTTTTCTTTTGATACAATTTTTAATATTTGAGATATAAAAAATAATTTGTTAAAAATTTTAATGAACGAAAAGGGAGTAAAAGAAAAATTCTATTGCAATAATAGGAAAAGAAATTTTGAGTTAATCCTCCCTTTTGCTTTTTCCCACTTTCTCCGCCTGTCATAGAAACTAAATAGTCAATGAGTCACTTGAGTTTCCGTGCACAAATAAAGAACTCCACTTCTTTCTATCTGAACCAAATTGTTCCACTTTCATAACCATTAAAGCAAGTGTAGAAGAAAGAAATTTATAGCGTTATTCATGAAGCTAAATCGGGAGTTTGTGTATGGTCGTATAAATTTAATTTGTAATTTTGGTGCGGTTCTACCTTTCTACTTGCGCTTTTATTTTGAGAACATGATGGGATACAAGTTAACAGCTACGTGAGCAAGGTTGGCAAGTTTCTGCCGAGGTGGTTAAAACCACTGGTAGAAACTGGTTAAAACTGGCATGGCAGTAACCCTTTTCTGCCACATTTGTGGCAGAAACTGGCAGAAATTCAGAAAATGACATAAAAGTAAGTACTGAGATAGACATACAATGGATAATTCACAGAAAAAACAATTAAATGTTAAATAAAGTACAATTTATTTACAAAATTATCACCATTCAAAATCAAATATTACATTGTTTGCACTCTGCAGTAATCTATAACAAAAGGCAAGTTTTGTGGCAGTTTCTAAACCTAAACAATCTCTCAATTTGCTATGCACAAATGAAAAATTTGAGAAGATTCTCTCAAGTCCAGCAGAACTAGCAGGCATTGCCATCAAGGAACAAGCAAGATTTGTGAAACTTTTATGTATTGCATATTTTTTAAAACTGAACCACCATGTAGCAGCTGGGGTAGTTGTCAAAACTTGACTGGAAAAATAAATTTCAGGAAGTGGGGCCAATTTGTTTTGCAAAGCTATGACACAAGGTACAAAATCTGGGTTAATATTGGCGAGTAAAATTCTGGCTCTTTCTTCTTGAGCACATGATAATTTCAATCCCAAATACTATGGATGCAGCATATACAGGGTATCCGCGCACCTGGAAAGTCATGAAAAATCATGGAAAGTCATGAATTTCGGTATTGAACAAAATTTGTCATAAAATGTCATGATTTTTACTATTTTTTTGAAAAAAATCATGGAAAGTCATGGATTTAGGTCTCCGAAAAATCTTATTTTCCAATTTCTTCCTGTTCCAAATATCTGAATTTCTAACAAAATCACCACTCAGTCATATTTTATTAGAATATAAAATGATTTTATCATGTTCTTTAAAAATTATGGTGTTCTTTCAAAAAATGAAAGAAAAAATATCATTTCTAGAGCGAATTATCCTTTAAACTCTCTTCTGTGATTTAAGAATTTTTATTATTATTTTTTTTTAATTTTGTAAATTTAAAATTCTAGTTGAAGCAAATCAGTTATTGGCGAATTTTTTTTTATTCCGAAATGAACAGAAAAACAGTTATTGGCGAATTTTTTTTAATTCCGAAATGAACAGAAAAATCAGGAGTATTTCTTTCCTTTCTGATGAACAAGAAAAGTATCTTTAGAATATAATTCTGCAGAAATTTTTTTTTTTTTGCTTTTGTATTTTTTTCAGCTATTTTATTGTTTCAACTCTTTCCTTACTCTGTTTTTTAAGTTTAAAATCTATAAATGTGAAGAAGAAGAGTATAATAGTTTTGGTTATACCTATTTCGAATAATGTTATTATAATGCTTTTTTTAATTTATTGTTGGAGAAAATAGCAACTTTGTTAAGTCATGAAAAATTCTTGGAATTAGTTATGGAAAATAATGAAAAGTCATGAATTTGAAAATCTGAAATGTAGCAGATACCCTGCATATAAGCTAGCAAATGATAATCAGTAACTGCCTGTTTAAATCTGTATGTTACTTCTTTTTTATAAATAGCCCTAAAACTCTCTTTACTTAATTCATTTTTCAGTTTACTTAAACAAAATGTCATTAAGCAATTACTAAAACTAATATATAAGTTTTTTTAGTTTCTGCCGGTTTTTACCGGTTATAACCAGTTTCTGCCGGCAAAAAGCCAACCCTGTACGTGAGAAAGCCTGAATCAAGCCGTTGCAACATGATTTGCGTTTAAATCATGCAACTTGCTTCAAAATATAATTGTTTTGTATTTATACTGAGTGATGGATCAAGGAAACAATATTTTTAGTTCTTTCAGGATAATTATATAATGGATTTTCCGTTTATGAGGAGATCGACTTTTGGATCAAGTTATGCATATTGTGGAGTGGATTTTTTGGTATCTCATGACAAATAAATGAAATTAAAAAAAAAAAAAAAAAAAACACATGAACTCAGATAAACACCAAAGGCAATGATTCTTTTAAGTTATCTAATTATTTCTCAAGCTCTTTGGATGAGAAGCAAAAATCAGTAGAAAATATGACTGTGGGTGAATAAAGACTACAGCTATAATTAGCCTGTTAATACCTGAAAAAGTGAAAGAAATCTAGAATCAACTGGAAGTGCAGTGGTTAATAGATTTTATATTTCATCTTTGCTATATAGTTAAAAATCCTACACATGTTCATTTATTGTTATTTATTTATTTATTATTACTGTAATTTTATACTTAATTAAGATTTTTATTTGTGTAGATTTCTGAATTTTTTGTTTTTGTTACAGCTCTTACATTTCTGTTTATTACTAAATATTTCAGTTTTTACTTATGTTTTATAGAAATGCATTTAAATAATATTTTTTGAATCTTTTTACATTAGTTAAGCACTATTGCTAAATGTAGTTTACAAAGAAAAAAAAAACCTAATGCCACAATTTATTTTTTCATTCAGTAAATTTAAATGCATTGATGGGAATTTCTGCTTGATGAATATTTTTTCTATTCAATATCTTGTGGAAAATTATAAAGAAAAGTATTATTAAAAGGTCTGAAAGTTTTAAATTATTTAATGCACTGGGTATTATATAAATGAAGGTTAAATTTATCATGATTTAGAAAAATTAAGTAATTGATCCTCAATAATGTGGTAAAACAATTGAACCATTAAAACTGTAAAATTTGAGAGAAAAGTATCTATTGTGTATGTGGCAAGGTAAACCCACAAGAATGCATGGGAGATAGGGGGGAAAAAAGGAGTCAATAATTACTTCAACTAAAGACATATGTTACATCTTAATTGGCCCAATAGCGGTAGTAAAGGAATTGCTAAAAAAAAAAAAAAAAAAAAAAAAAAGAACGAGTAACCCAATAGGTCCATTGGACCATAAAAAAAGAAATAAAAAATTTAGAAGTGAAAAAAAAAACACATAATAAAGAAACTTATTCAAAACTATAGCAGAAGCATTCTTGTGACTCCATTGTTATTGGTGCTAACTATTTCATTTGTGGCTACTCACTCAATATCACGACGATATAGCATTGCTACTGTGGAATTATGGATGAATAAATAAAAGTTCACAATTTGTCTTGAATTTTCCTTTATTTTAAAGTGGTGGAATGCACCAAGGAAGGGATAACACACAAATACAATATTGAAGGGCACACAATTATGTTTCACTTATTCCTGGAGTTGTATACAAAACAAAACAAGAACTTCTAAAAAAAAAAAAAATTCTTGAATCAACTCACCTTTCTCATCAAAAAACCAGCCATGATTTCGCTATAATGATCCTTTTTTTGCCATGCTGTGCATTAAAAACCAATCTTTGGCATGAGCAAAGAACCTATGAGAAACAAAAAAATAAAGTGATGTCACCAAAAATAGCCAATAAAAAATAAAGAACCCAAAAAATTGATACTTAAGTTAGTTTCAAAATAAATCCTTGGATTGCAAAAGCGATCTGGCAAACTTAGCTAACTAAACAACATGTTAGTGATTATCATGAAGCTATTGATAAATGGATTTATTTAACTTCCTATTTTATAATTCAGTTAAAATTACCAGTTTTAAAATTTGAGAGATGAAAAAAAATATGCTTGCTATTCTTCAATTAAGGGTTATAATAATAATAATGAAAAACTTGTATTTTTAATAATGAGATTAGATGTTTGAATCGGACAAATGCATTTTCATTTTGAACAAATAGTTCAAAAAATTTAGCAAACTTATTTCATCAAAGCAAAGTTTTTAAAACTGGACATATAAGTATTGTTTGTTTGTTATGTGTACTGAATTTTAATTAAATATTTTTGTTATTTACAGCTGGCTCTTGTGTCTTGGCGAGATTTTTTATTTAGGCCTTTGCATAAGCAAGTAAGAACTCGGAAATTTATTTATAAATTTCGTGAAACTTCATTTAAAAAATATTGACATTTGACAATTGTTTCCACTCTTATTCTTTGTATTAAATGTATGCTTCATAACTTCAGAGTATAAAATGTTTAAGAAAAAAATTGCGAAGGTTATTCTAAATAATAATTAAACATTTTTTTTTTTTATTATTTTGTTTACAACTTCAGGTCAGAGATTATTTTTTATGTTAAAGCTTCAGTGTTATTTTATCTTTAAATAACCAGTAATTGATTTCAAAATTGAAAGATTGATTGTAAAAAGAAATTGAAAAACTTTTAATTGAAAACATTTGCAATAAAAAATACTGAAATGAAGAAATAAAGATTAAATTTAATTTACTTATGTATTATAAAAGCATTCACATTTAAGTAAAAAAAAGTTGAAGACTGTCTAATTTTTATTAAAACTGATATGATCTTTAATTCAAGATGTTAGTTCAAAATATATTTTTACTTTATTATTATTTCATTAATTAAGCGATTGTTATTATTTTAGGTGACTAGTGCTGTACTGAAGTTAATAGAAAAAGAACGAAATGGAGAGACTATAAATACAAGACTCGTTAGTGGTGTAATGAATTGCTATGGTAAACAAAAGCATTTTTACATTAATCAAAAGTAAAAATTGAGTGTTAATTGCATTAATTTGCTGTATACAATGTTTTATGAAAGAATTTATCTTTTTATGAGTTGCAATATTGAGCAATGCTTGTATATGTCTTTTTTAACGTTGTGTTTTTTATTCTAATTTTATTTTTTCGTTCGTATAAATTTTCAGTTGTTCATTTCCTTAATTTAAGGAACAAATTAATCGTTATGGGAAGCAACTATAATTATGTATTGACACTTTTTAAATTGAATTTTTATTTCAGTCGAACTAGGCCTAAATGAAGATGATCCTTCAGCAAAAGGACAGAATCTTTCAGTATACAAAGAAGCTTTTGAAAATACATTTCTTAGTGATACAGAGAGATTCTACACTACAGAAAGCACAGATTTTATTCGGGAGAACCCAGTTACAGAGTATATGAAAAAGGTTCTGTGTTAACCTAGTTTCCTTTTTAACTTAATTCTAATTAATATGTTTCTAAAATATTTATGTTCAACTTCTAAGATTTTTTTTAAACTTTGTTTTGAATGGTTTAGATATTTGTAAGATAATTCTTTGTAGTTCAGTAAAAATATTGGAATTACCAATTATTAGATAATTTGTTTTAAATTTTTTTATCATAGTGTTATCATTTATGCTTGCAACATTTAAAATTCAAAATTTAGAATTATTGCTTTTCAGCTCACTGTAGCAGTTGTTATTAAATCACAAATATTTGTCTGGATCTGAATGATTGTTTTAACCAATTTTTGTTTGTTTGTCTTAAAACAGTAAATATTATTTATAATAGTGTAAAAACAAGCAATTTTATGTAAAAGTAACTTACTTAATACTTTGGGGGCCATATATTATTGTAATAGGGAGATAAATTGTTATTTCAAGGAGTGATATGAAAAAATTATAAGCTTGATGGTTTTAACAATCATATTTGCAAAAATGTATATTCCGAAGAAAAAGAGGTTCTTAATGATATTGACTGATAAAGCATTGTAAGTATATAAAGAAATATTTGATTCGGATCTAATTTATGTTAATGTAATCTCTGATTATTTAATCAGTCTTTATTTAAATCATTATCACGATTGAGACTGTGCGGGAAAAAAAATCAGAGCAATATAACACCAGTAAAAATTTAAATAGACTAAGTTGTTCAATCATTTGCCATAGATAGATATTTCTTTGCCTCCTGTGGGTTTAGGATGTATTGCAAACTAGATAATAGCCATGTTCGAGCAAAGGGTAAAGCACAGGTAAGTCTAAAAATCATTAGAGTGCTTTTAAAAGAGCATTAACTTGTTTGTAAAAGAAAAAAGAGCAAGAGAGGATTTTTTTCAAAAAAAAATCTCTTTTTATATTTAAAATTCTATGAAATTTGACTTGTTCTTTTTGGTCTATTAGAAGACGGATATTTTTATATAAAAAGAAAGTAACATAAAGATTTTTTTTCTTTTTTTTACAAAAAACCCTTCTTTTCTTGGACCATATTGCTCTACAAATAATTAAATTAAGGGTAAATTATCGTATGATTCAATGCAGATGTAGAAATATGTAGAGAGATTTGTCAGATATTGATGCAACGAGACTTAATTGTAAATCTAATGTTCAACTGTGAAAGTCGGTATGTAACACATAAAAAATTTTACATGAAAAATAATTTAAATAATTAGCTTACATTATGAATAAAATGAGTTTCTTATGGTTTATAAGAGAAAAGTCAATACATGTTTCAAAGGGAAAAAATGAAGACAAGTATAGTTCTTCTTTTCTTATCATTATTAAATGGATGTTTTATTATGTTAATGTTGCATTACTCTGGCAAATTTGTGTAAGGAATTTTTCTGAGTATAAAGTTTGTATTTAATGAATGATGTAAAAAGGTTCTGTGTGCAAGAAATCCTCTCTGAAATCAGTTTATAAAGAAACATTGTTTCTCATTTGCATGCTTGCTATTTTAAATGTATGCTAACTTATTTTTAGTTTACCATACTGTATTTAAAAATGTATCTTGTTTTATTGATTTTTATTCTTTTTATTTTTATCTTTGTCCTTTTTTATCAAATCTATATATGAAACATTTGCTAAATGAATTTTTTTTTATATTAATGTATCATTATACCTATTTTACTTTGTTTAGACTCCATGATTTGAAGTGTAAAATAAAACACACTGGAATAAAAATATAATTCCATATCAGCATTTTCAAAATTTAATTTTTTTGTTCTTTGTCCCCATATTATTTGTAGGATTTCCATTCTTACCCATATATATGCATAGCTGCCAACTGTCCAGAATTTTTCAGATTTGTTCCTAATTTTTAAATCAAATCTGAAAATCTGATATTTTTATAAAAAATCTGAAATTTGGTGAAATTGCACTATTTTTGCTTTTAAACCAATCCCTTGTTCTGATCGCCACAATCGCGCTTCCTGAGATTATTGTGCAGAAGTAATTTTTAGTAGCTTTTTGTTGGAAAATACTATTCCAATAGCTGTTGCTTATCATTTCTCTAAATTGAATCTTAAACAACTATTATTATTTTTTAAAAAATGTATTGTATTATTTAAACATTTGCATCAGAAATATTTGTCTATGATGTAGTTTAATATTTACCTGTGTTTTATAATTTGGAGAGGAATAATTACATATTAATAGGTAGTGTTTTTTTTTTTTTTTTTTTTTTTTTTAACTATTATACCGGTATTCCTAATTATAAAATAACATTATAAACTTCCCACAAAAGATAGTGTTCTTAATTTTTTTTTACTAATTTACATGAAGTATTTAAATATATTATGTTTATTAATGTTATTATTTAATGGTTAAATTTTTGTTTTACTCTTGTAATTGGTGCATATAATTTTGTCGTTTATAGTGCTCCTAATTTTTGATTCCTAAGGTTGGCAGCTATGTATATGTTCTAAACTTCATGCTATATTAACAATAAAATAAAATAATATTCTTTCATCTTTTTTACTGTATACTGTAATACTTTTTTACTGTAAATAATTACTGTATTTTTCACTTCATTAGTAGACTTTTTCATTAGCTCTATTTTATTAAATTTTTGAGCAAAAACGTATATCATAACGCAGGACTCGTAAATTTTTTTCTGAAATTGTTTTCCTGGTTCAATATTATTTGTACAGAGGTGCCAAATAAGGTTGTTTTTTTTTTGTAATTTTTACGAATATTAGTTTTGAATACAAAAGGAGAGGATTGAGACTACAATTTCCTGATTTTTTTCAATGACACTTTATTTTCTGTCACTAGTTTTTAAAACTTGTAGATAATCATTTAGTACTATATTTTAAATTGGAGACTAATCTTAAATATTTTAGCTTATTTGTTCCATAATTAAAGTCAAATCAATAATTCTAATTAGTAATCCTAATTGCTTCTATAACCTAACTGTTGATTTTTTTTTTACTTTGAATTAAATATATTGAGGCTGATTTTATTATTTAAAAAATGTAAATCATAAAATGTTCAATGTAGTGGGTTATTTTGCTCTATAATTTCACCTCTAATAAATACCAAACTATTTTATTGTTAAAAATAGTTTTAGCAAGATAGTTTTGTTGCTAAGGAAGAGAATTACTGCAGGTTGGCATCTCTGTTTCTATATTCAAATATCATTAGAAATGTATGTATATTTATGAAAATTATTTAAAATTGAATTGCATTGAAACTTTACAGGCAGAACTAAGGTTAAAAGAAGAAAAGAAGCGTGTGCAACTATATTTGCATGAAACAACTCTTGAAATTGTTGCTAGGACATGTGAAAAAGTATTGATTCAAAAGCATCTAGAAATATTCCATTCAGAGTTTCAAAATCTTCTTAATGATGATAAAAATGAAGGTATTAAAATGTTTGATACTGAAATAACTAAAAGATATACATATCTATCGAGTTATATATATGGATATATTTTCCTTTTTGATTTGACTGGGAGGAACAAGAAATTTTGTGCCCTGTTTTTTTTTATTTTTAATAAGTATATCTAGTCTAATTATCCTTAAAAAAATTCATAAAATGGGAGATATAAGAAGATATAAGAGCAATTCGTTTAAAACTGCTTTATTTCAAGAAAAGATTTAAAATTGAAACATTCTATTTTCCAATGTGTGTTACCTAAAATTAGATTTTTTTTCAAACTTAACATGAATTGTTGTACCTTCCTTTTCTTTAAGTCATCAGCTTTTTAAGTCTTAGTATACTTAAATTTTCATATCATCTCTGTCAACTTAGATCCATTTACATTGAAAAAAATGAAGTTAAAATTATCATTTAATTATATTTAACTGCACATTAGCGAAACTGGGTAGTCATGCTAAAGTGCTGTGATACCTCATATTTTGATACGACATATATTTTCAAGGGCTGTTTCTTGAATGTTTTACTTTACATCATGGTTACCTTAATTGGAAATGAAAATAATTACTAATGATTTATTTTTCAAACTCTGTGGCATCGCAATTGATAAAACCATATAGATTTGAGATAGAATTATAACTTAGTATTATTTGTTATTATCAGTAATAATATATATGTTTTATTTTCTTCAGCACATTTTAATGATTATCATACTCTACTTAAATCATGCAGAAAAAAGAGAGAAAAAAACTGTTTCATTCGAATTTCATAAAGATATAGCTACCATTCCCACCAATTTTTTTTACTGATAATGTAGAGTTGCCAACTTGCTCCGGACAGCGGATAAATATTTTTGAATGGTAGTTTTTAATGTGTGATTCTTGGTTTAATTAATTAGATTTATTTGGTTTCTATCCACCTCTATTTCTAAATAATTAGAAGGTTTATATAATTTGCCACTTTATTATATTTTAGTCGTGTTAAACCTTAAAAAAAAAAAAAATTAGCCAAATATTTGCAAATTTTAGCTTGTAGTTATTTACCATTTTTTAAATTAATTTTGCTTGTCCGGAGCAGTTTGCATCTCTGGATAATGTTATTTTCTGAAACCCAGAAAAATTATATCAGAAAAAATATTATCAGAATCTTCGCATTCTTATCAATTTTTTTTAATTTTTAAAATAGTCTTTTTTTTATTATAATAATAGGCTTCTTGAGGCTTTTGTCTTTCAGTGCTATCTGCCACATTCCTAAAAAACACTAAAAAAATTTTCAATATAAATTTTTTCTTTAGAGAACATTGAAAAAAGGTTTTTTTTGAACATAATTTTATTTTAATCATTTATTCATAACAGTGGTGTTAAAATAATATTTAAATGCAACATTTAAAATTACTATTGCAATTTTCTGTAAGCAGCTCATTTAAAATAAGTTTTCTCAGTGCTCTATTGTGTATTTTCTTGTTTATTTTATTATATTTTCTTCTGTTTTTGTCCAATGTATTATCTGAATTTTTAGATTTAGGTAGAATGTTCCAATTAGTTTCAAGAATATTTGATGGCCTTGGAGAATTGCGAACCCGGTTAGAAAGTCATATTCATAATCAAGGCCTCTCTGCTATTGAAAAGTGTGGGGAAAGTGCCTCAAATGACCCCAAAGTATATGTTAATACAATATTAGATGTCCATCGAAAATACAATGCCTTAGTAATGACAGCTTTTAAAAATGATGCAGGATTTGTTGCTGCTCTTGATAAAGTATGTTTTAAATTAAAATATCTATGTTAACTATATTTGTAAATAGTATTTATCTGTTTAATATCATAATTAAAGAGTGAAAATATTAATGGCATTGACATTGCCTAAAGGTTTAGGTATGCTGTAAGTTAAAAAATAGTGTTAAAATCAACTTATGTTCCATTGCAGCAATTCTTGGTAATAATTTTTTTACTTCTTAAAAAAATTGTATATAAAACTATAATTATTTTTTATATTAAGCTAAAGTATTATATGTGTACATTATGCGATAACTGATATAACACCTGAGTTTAAAAAAGCCAAACTTTTGGCTGGGGAGTTGATTTGATTTCGCCAAGAATTATCTAAAGGAATTAGGAAACATCTCTTTAATATAAAGATGTAAGTGAGTAAAAAAAATCAAACCAAGACTCATGCCATAGTGGTTCAAATATTTCTTATGATGAAGTGAAATAAAATAAAAATGTTTTGCACTTGTTTGGTGGTTCTACTGCAAGTAACTTTAAAAATCTCCCATTTTGAAATGTATATGTCTGTAGTTAAAAAGAAAAAAATATGTAACACAAATACTTTGTTAGACGTTGTTTGATACCAATTGATTCGATTTCTATGCTGGTTCGTTTGATAACAAATGAATAAAATGGATTATGGACTGTATTTAAGATTTTATTATCATTGATGCTATGAGCACGCACATGCTATAAGATCAACAACCAAATTTCGACTGTTTGGGGGTTACAAGAAACGGTGGCGAGGATGCTAAGACAAAGATGTCAAATTGGCGCTATATTTCCGAGATACTGAACATCCACCTGCCGTTGAATTATATTCAATAAACATACAAATTAGCATAACAATGGTACATAAACATTCCAGTATAAAATTTACAAAGATTGAATAAATGCTGTAGGTACACATAATGAGAAAATTAACATAAATCTTTGTTAATTGTCCAATGGCAAAATACACAATTTACTAATACAGTGGAAAGTCGCGTATCCGGAATCGGCGGGACTTTCCGAAGTCCGGATAATCGATTTTTCCGTATAATAGACCCCCAAGGTAAACAGAGATTAAAATGATCTGAATCTAAGAAGCAGAAATTAAATAACATTATTTTTCGGGCAATAATGTTTTAGTATTAGAATGATATCTAATCAATCAAAAACAAAATATTTAAAAAAAAATAATTATTGCTATTATAAAAATAAATATAGGAAACTAAAAAAATTTACAGTTATGAAAATATTAATTGCTCTCTCCGCCATTTTGAACTAGAACGTTTCAAGCAAGAAGGGGAAATTCCCGTCATTCATTCATTAAGGTGGGTAGGTGAAGAAGCAAAATTCATTTCCTTCTTACTTGTCATTCAAGTTGAAGGGGGGGAAGTGACAAGTTCTTATTTTCTCTCCTGTCATTGGCTATCAATCAAGCATAAAGGCGTGGCATGCTGATTGGGTTCTCTTTATTTTTTCTTGTGTGACTAAAGGGGATTCCCCCTCCACTTTAAC